GGGGATGAGGTGGGATGGAGTGGGAGGTGAAGGAAGGTGTTCTTACCGGTGTCCAGTCTCAGGCACGTTGATGTCGTCCTGGATGGTCTCCTTTTTCTTCTCTTCTCTCTCCTATTTCTTTGTCTCCTTGTCCTGCATCTTGCGCCTCATTTTGTCCATCTCCGTCTGCCGGTCTTGCATACGTCTCCCAAAGATGCCTCTTTTCTTTTTTTTTAAGTCGAGGCAGATGTTTTCAAGGACTGTTTTGTCGTCCTCTAATTCTTGGATCCTGGTGATAAGGATCTGATGTTCTTTGGAGATGGTATTCTCCATTTGTTGGATTGTAGAGATCAGGCACAACTCAGTGAAACCACTGCTTGTGACCATCTCGTGGTGGGTCTCCTCTTGGCTCTTTTTTAAAGCAGCCAGAGAATCCCTCTGGGTCTTCAGCAGTTTGTGTTCTGCTTCCAACTGCTGCCAGGTCTCATTGTTGACCGTGAGTTCAGCACTTTTGACAGAAAGTTGTTTTGTGGTCTCGGTGAGCTTCAGAGATAAACCCTCGTTCTCCCTGATGGTCTCATCCAGAGCTTCTGTCTTGATCTTTAGCAGTTTGTGTTCTGCTTCCAACTGTTGGTTGTTGGCCTCCTGCTTGTGCAGCTTCTCTTGAAGAGAAATGTTGGTGGAGCGTAACCCTGTTACTTGAGACTCCAAGGACTGTTGTTGGTCATCCAGTTCCTTGGTTGTCCTTTTCTCCAGATCTTCATATTTCTGCTGCCAGGTCTCGTTGTTGACCATGAGTTCAGCACTTTTGACAGAAAGTTGTTTTGTGGTCTCGGTGAGCTTCAGAGATAAACCCTCGTTCTCCCTGATAGTCTCATCCAGAGCCTCTGTCTTGATCTTTAGCAGTTTGTGTTCTGCTTCCAGCTGTTGGTTGTTGGCCTCCTGCTTGTGCAGCTTCTCTTGAAGAGAAATGTTGGTGGAGAGTAACCCTGTTACTTGAGACTCCAAGGACTGTTGTTGGTCATCCAGTTCCTTGGTTGTCCTTTTCTCCAGATCTTCATATTTCTGCTGCCAGGTCTCGTTGTTGCCCGTGAGTTCAGCACTTTTGACAGAAAGTTGTTTTGTGGTCTCGGTGAGCTTCAGAGATAAACCCTCGTTCTCCCTGATAGTCTCATCCAGAGCCTCTGTCTTGATCTTTAGCAGTTTGTGTTCTGCTTCCAACTGTTGGTTGTTGGCCTCCTGCTTGTGCAGCTTCTCTTGAAGAGAAATGTTGGTGGAGAGTAACCCTGTTACTTGAGACTCCAAGGACTGTTGTTGGTCATCCAGTTCCTTGGTTGTCCTTTTCTCCAGATCTTCATATTTCTGCTGCCAGGTCTCGTTCTTGACCATGAGTTCAGCATTTTTGACAACGAGTTTTTCGGTCTCTCTGACCTTCAGAGATAAAACATTGTTCTCCCTGATAAGGTCTGAAAACCTCTTTCTGTTCTTGTCAACCATCTGCTCATAGGCAAGATCTTTTCCTTTTAACATGTTGGTCGATTTGAACTTCAGAGTTTCAGTGTGAGCGGTGAGTTCGCTCACTTGCCTTTTCAGGTAGTGCACTTCGTTCTGTGCACGAGAAAGGGCCATGTTCACATTGTATCCGGTGGGAGGAGTCCCGAGAAGTGAAGCGCCAGCTCCAATTCTCTGGTTGTTTCTACGGTACATGTTAAATGACACTTGTGTAGTCTTGAAAAAGACTGTTGGTCAGCCCTGAAAAGGGGTGTAGTCTTGAAAAAGACTGTTGGTCAGCCCTGAAAAGGGGTCTAGTCTTAAAAAAGACTGGTGTTTTATTTGTCGCTAAATGACTCAATGTAACCTCTGAAAAATGGTGATGAATCTTCCAAAGAACTACTTAAGTCTGTAAAGGACAAATATCGCAGATACTTTCGAGAGAAAATATCCAACTGCACTCTTCTGGAACCAGAAACGCAATGATCTAGTGCATCTAGATACATCAAAGGATTTGTTGATGATGTCACAATTCCGTTGTCATGGAAATGCAGCCCGTGTCATAGAGTGGACTCCATGACAACGGAATGCAAAATACAACAGAACTCACTTTGTGTGGGTTTTTTATATACACATTTATATATATATATATGAGGGATATTTATATATATTAGAGCGGTCTATGTATTTTAAAAGAAAATCACTAATTCATCTTACTCTAGCCTAATTACAATTTTGTTTTTCTTTTAAACTGAGGAGTGAACAATTGTAAACGTGATGAGGCCGATATATAAAGTCCCATTCACCTGTGTTTCTTTCTGCACCATGATGCCCATTTCTGAACCACGTTTTGGATGAAGAAGCACTGATATTGAGACGTGCTTTCAGACACGAGAGGATGTTTTGGACAGATCAGACCAGCGTGAAGCCATCTCACCATCCCACACATGCTCCGTATGGCACGCCGCTTTTTTGCAAGCGCCTTGTCTTTATATGCCGAACCTGTAAATAAAGGCACTATTTGCCGTGCTGTAAGAAGTGTGTGTTTGGCACTGAAGTCCTTGGCACACATCTTTATTACCTCCCCTGGCCCCAAAAGAATGTGTCACATCAAAGAAGATTTCCACAAGACAGTCCACATATTCCGTGTAAATGGGTGATTGTGTTTGATGTTGTGAGATGCATGTAATGGTAATATACGTTGTGCTAAACCCGGGTCTCAAGTGTCCGTATTTGACCCTGACGTGCAAAGAGCAGCATGATACAAAATGTTAGTTTGCAGCTGTGTCCTGAGAAGGCCTCAATCTCGATCTCATAGACGCTTCGATACAAGGGACTTCTGTTCATGGCCTTGGTTCATATCTTACTTGCTTCTCGTACCTGGCACTGAGGATAGACTTCACATGTGTATAAAAACTCAGCGCTTTTACTGCTCAGAGACGCCATTTACACCGAACGCTGAAATACGTGCTTGTGTGTTCGACCTCCTGCTTGCAAGCAATAGTTAGAGCCAGATATCTGCGGAGAGTTGCTCATGTAATCTTTTTCTCTTCTAAATAAATGTTAACTTTTTTACTTTAATTGATCAACGTGTTGTGATCCTTCTCATCAACCAACTCGGGGGGATCGGAGATCCCGACAATGTACTGGAGAATGTAGCATGTATGAAGAGGGCAGTTTCTGCAGGTGGAACATAGTCAGTAGCTGTCCCACCCTGGATCCCTTCCATCACAGGTCTGCCTTTTCCTCAGCTGGGGTGAAGCCTGGTGCTAGTGCCCCCCGCCAGACAAATGAGCCCTCTTAACTGCTTAAATCAGTTTAGATAAAATATGTGCGCAGGCATCTTGTTCATCAAGTTATTTCTACACCATTTGCAAACTGAGCACTTATCAACTGGCCAGATGTTTTTATATTTTATCTTGACCTGTTCCAGTCTTGTTTGTTCTGTATGAATCTTAATTGTAGAAAGATATTTAGAATTAGACACCGTTTATAGAGATTTGTGCATATGGTTGTAAAACATTCTCGCATTGTGAATAAGGGTTTGAAATTAGTCTTTAGGGTAAATTTCTACAGGAAGATGAATTCCCTCTGCTCACTTTTAAGGCAAAGTAGGATAAATAATAATACTATATTGTATTTATATAGTGCTTTACATGGTAGGCTACTCAAAGACACTTTACAGTAAAACCAAAATCATATTAAAAGCCAATAAAACAGTCTACAACTTTCCTAGCAAGTACATATTTTTAAATCCGTTCGCATTCAGTCGGTCCACGATTGTTTGCCTGGCTTTTTCTCTTTGTTTAATTATGGCTGCAGCTCTTTATTTTCTTCCTTCTTGGCCTCAGGTGCAGTCACGAGCGGATGACAGGATTCTGTTATCATAATTTGCCAGTTGGCATGTTCAGCCTTTTTTGCCTGCAGAAGAGTTAACATCACGTACTGATGGCTATAAAACATCACTAAACATAGATCAAACAATGCGGTGAGCATTACAAATCATAGTACTCTTTGCACTGCAGGCCTGAGATGGAAATACTTTTACCATGATCCAAATAATTGCCCACGAGAGCAACATGTAATCCAGCAATGAACACATTATCTGTTTAGTGAAACAGTGTACAACTAATTTTTCAACAAAGCAATTGGTTAACCAGTATGTTCAGGCTTTATGAGCAAATACAGAATCCCTTTGTGTTCATTTCCAAAGACGCATTAAGACACACATCACTTTATTTAATACGCTGCTTGCAAGTCGCTGTGTTGTGCCAGACTCTCAATACAACATTTAGGACAAACCCACCGTCACAAAGATACTCATCAAACGTTACACGGACTCTGCGTGAGGAAGAGGAGGAGGAAGAGGAGGAGGCTCCATGTCGATAAATACCTACTTTCCACCGACCACTTTTCCCACCCGGTGTCGCTCCGATCTGCCGGCGCATCGCGGAGGAAACCAATCGGGTGTCTGGATGCTAAATGTTTAAACTTCTCATCCAAACACAATCACATTCACTCTGTCCGCATAGCGCCATTTATCTGGAGAAGCCGGAAGTAACGAGACTGTTTTTAAAATGTAAGGAGTAAAAAGTACAGATATTTGCGTGAAAATGTAAGGAGTAGAAGTAAAAGGTCGTCTGAAAAATAAATACTCCAGTAAAGTATAGATACCCAAAATTTCTACTTAATACAGTAACGAAGTATTTGTACTTCGTTACTTGACACCTCTGATCAGGATATATTATATAAAGCAGCTGACATGAGTCCAGCTCTAAGACACTCAAACATAAAAACATCATTAATAACAATCTAGTGATATATAATACATGTATATTATATTATTCTGAAATGGGCCGTTCTATTGGTACTTTAAGTATATTTTGAAAGACATGTTTTTAAGTACAGGGCAAATGTGTTTCAAACTGTATATCGTTTTTTTTTACACATGTCAACAAACATTTGGGGCTTTTACTTTATAGAGCGCAACGTGTGCTACCAGTGTTCCGGCTGTCTGCTGTAAAATAACAACGAGAAGAAGAAAAAGAGGTCGGGACCTTCGTGACGTGTTTCCGGTGTCATGTCAGCTAGCTGGTGAAACCTCATGGCTAGCGGCTGCGTGAACGCGTTTATTCGTCTTCAGTTGGGATGATGCAGTTGTGTTGAGTCCAGACGGACAGAGGTATGTTATTGTGTGTGGTTCGTGTTAAGGTTGTGTGTAAAATGTGAGCCACGTGTTGTTATGCGTTTATGTTAAAGTTAGCTGCTAACTTCAAACCCCAGAAAAAAAACAGAGAAAATATAACGTAAAATGTCGCATCCACCAGAAATGCTTATTCCCCTGGTGTAAGTGCGCTCAACATGACGTTAAACAATTAAATAAACCTTTGAAATACTGACGAAGTATCAACACAAAGCAGAATGTTTATTGGTAAGTGAAGTGAGACCTAATCACAACCTGTTTTAAACTAAGCTTTACCTAAAAAGTGAATTGTACTGTGTAAAGTGTTAACTCTTACTATTTGTCTAATCATTCATAATGTTGTGTATTTTAATCTTTAGCAATAGCTTCATATTCTTTAAAATCCTGTGTTCGTAGTTTTGCTGTACTGTGACATTTCTTTAATAAAGTTTACTTTATAAAACAGCCCTGTTCTCAGATTACAGACCCATTCAGTTTTCTGTTAATCTTTATGAAGTAGGATCATTTTCTCACGGCATGAATTAAAACTGATTTTGAATCCTCTACAAACTGAACTTCTTAACAGATGGCAGAAGTCGTACCAGAGAAAAGTCGCGGCTTGAAGTTTGCAGAGCAGCAGCTCCTGCGTCACGGATGGGAATACGGTAAGATGCCGTCATGTCTTCTGTTCGGCCTCCGCAGTGGGTCAGACGCAGGTTCACCGCTTCATCCGGTCCTCTCTCCTCAGGTAAAGGACTGGGCCGAGGAGAGAACGGCTTACCGGAGGCCATCAAGGTCAAAGTGAAATGTGACAAAGGAGGGGTGAGTGCGATTTGTTTTTTTGCAGCGTTTCTTCGCATCTGTCACTGGGGCGGCGTGAACTTGTTCTCTAGACTAATGGGGGGTTCTTTTCTTCCAGGTTGGTCACAAGGAAGGGGATCAGTTCACCTTCCACTGGTGGGATCATGTCTTCAATAAGGCTTCGTCCAGTCTGCAGGTGCAGTCTGATCAGGTGAGTCGGTCCTGCTGATCCCTGAACAACACACAGTTAAACACGCTGACACTGGGACTCAACACAACATGACCAGGGGACACGTTTATCCTAAAAGCATCGAGTGATGCTGTCACGCTATTTTTGAAAATGGTTACACAAGGGAGTGTTGTGATAGTGAGGGGATTATAACCTGTTATATTCAGCTGGTGTATTTGAAAAGGAGACCAGCCGATTCGTGAGGGGAAACATTTTAAATATCGCCGATTCTCTTCCTCCTCTTGAGGACAGATCAAAGACGGTCAAGAATTTTCTGTTTGATTCAGAACGGGATTCAGTTGACGAAGACGGCGGAAGAAGGTGAAGGGGATGGTGTGATCTCCAATAAAAAGCCAAGGAAAGCCGCTCTGGCTAAAGCCAAACTTTATGGCTGCTTTGTCAAGGTAAGTTGTTTGTTCCTTATTTCAACATTAGCTGTAAAGGATTATCGGAGGTTTTTAGGATGTTTCCTTAGGAAGAGGAAGCTACAGAGGCACTATTTAGTGGGACGAGGTCATTGTTGGTTATGTTGTTTTCAAAGAATAGGGGGAATGTTTTTTTTTGTTGTTTTTTTTACATTTATGTGGCTGTCAAATGTTACTGTTTCGAGCGGGTAATGACTGTCTGTGTTTGTTTCCGTGCTTCAGTCAGCCACGCTGCTGTCTGGTACGGAGCAGCCCGATCCGAAGCCTTCCTGCTCAGACAGCAGTAGCTCGGACGACGAGGACGACCAGAAACTGGATCTCTCCAGCACCACAAAGTGAGAACTTCATCTGATGCTGAGATGGTTCTGATTGGTCTTTTGTCAAAAGTTTAAAAGCTTCTATTAATGTTATTGTTCTCTTTTTTTTTTTTTTTAACTGTTTGCAAATGTGTTTATGCTCAACAGGCTCTCTGATGCGGATCTGATGAAGGCTTGTGGAGGCCGCACGGCTCACAAGTAAGTTCCTGATAAAGTGTCTGCTGATACTGAAAAGTAAAACATGGATCTAATTTTTGATGGACTTCTGTTTTCCAGAGGAGCCAGACATGGCTTGACCATGAATGCCAAGTTAGCCAGGCTCGAGCAGCAGGAGGCTGAGTTCATGGCAAAGTACGGCAAGAAGAGCCGACCGGCTAACGCTGCGCCGGTTTGTGTCACACAGACTCCGCCCACTGGCCGGTCAGCTGACCAGAGAGCTGAGAGGCGGGAAGAGACGCTGAGCGACTCTCAGAGGAAGAAGATGGAAGATATTAGATCCACCGGGAGCGATAATGAGCTAAACGAGTTGCCTGTAAGTCCTGACGTGGATGTTAAACCCAAGAAGAAGAAGAAGAAGAAGAAAGCCAACGAGGGAGCTGAACAGATAAGTGATGCAGCTTCCTCTGATGGGGATGTGATATATGTAGAAAACGGTGACTCAGACCACTCTCGTAAAACAAAAAGGAAACATAAAAAGAAGAAACACAATACACAGCAGGACGAAGAAGAAAGAACACTTTCACCTGCAGCAGCGAGCCAGGAGGAGCCTGCTGAGCTGCTCACAAAAGGGGGGAAGAAGAAGAAGAGGAGGGAGTCCTCACGCAGCGAACCTGATGAGACCAACAACGCAGAATCACAGCCGGTCTGCACACCAAAATCCCAAAAAACAGAGGAAGACACAACTGTGAGGCATAAAAGAAAAAAGTGTAAAAAAGACAAATCCTACGCAGATGAAGATACAAACGAGGAGACACTTTGTCCAAAGAAGAGTAAAAAGAAGTCCAAAGTAGTTTAAAAGCTTTGGACCTGAAAAGAAGTTGTGATTATCTTGGTTGTGTTGAGCGAGGACCTTTTGTTGCTGGGCTCCTTGGTATGACGAGCCTTTTTAATTTAATCTGATCGGTAATTCAGAGCAGTAACAAGGTTACAACCTCCAGAAATGATGCCTGAATCCGTCACGGAGTTCGTGGGTCCGTGTTGGAGGATTTTAGGGTATGACACAAATCATTTGTCTTTGTTGACCACTAAATGTAAAATATACATTTTAGTAGAAAACCAATATGAAATGTAGGGAAACTTTTTTGGGATCTTTAACTCCTTTTTATTGAACAGGTTTAACTGACGACAAAACATGAACTTCTGCAGTTTATTGGCAAATTAAATTTTTACAAATAACAGTTGTGTCATTTTTTTTCTTTTCAATAGTACAATTCTCTTCACAAAGTTACACGTACTGTATTTTATGTGATTTAAAAAACATCACTAAATGCTATATTGTCTGTCTATAGTGTGAGCCGTATACTACTGTGTAGTATATTAAGATACTACTCTGATAAAAACATGAGCAAGCACAGCAAAGGAGACAAACATATACTATATATAACATTTAAGTGAATAACAAAATCAAGGGGCTTAAAACGTCTTCCAGTCAAATATACACGGCTTGCACAACATATTTTGACTCATCAGTCTTTATGTAACACCAGAAACATTGAAAACATGCAGCAGGAAAATAACTTTGTTGCATCAGTTTGCAAATGTAATGATGTGAACTTTGCAAAAGTCATCTCACTTTAAGGATTTTGAGTCTTGGTCCTTTCGGAGAAACACTTCACATGTTTCGTTGGCTCGTATTCTCTAAGTCAGTCTTACTAGATTGTATGTCATTGATATCGGGATGAAATGCACAGTACCCTCCCAGGGAAGGTTTCTGATTTTGCTGCAACAGTTCAAAGGTGATTAAACGGTTAAATATAGTTGAGCTTCTCCACTTATCGTGACTTCTGAGGTATTTTACAAACCACAATTAACACTTGCATTCGATTGGCGATGATGCGATTTAGCAGCCAGCGCCAGAGAACCACGGTAGCGCTCACAAATCGGACCGTATCAGGGCGTCGGCCTCACAGATGAATTTGTTTCTCATGTAACAGTCTGCTGGACTCCAGCTGGCTGAGGGCTTCCTCTCAGGGACCATCAGTCCACATCGGAGAGACGTACCAATGTCTTTCGTTAACCGGCTCCTTCGGAGACACAACGTGATCGTTAACAAACTAACAATATTCCACCTCTGCTGCCCATTAACAGATAAACACTAATGATTAAATGCTTCTGAGCGTTTAGGAATTGTCTCCCACGTTGGCTTAAAGAGACGGGAATCACTCCAAAGTAAAGGTCTTGCATTCTCGGCTTATTTAAGTAGAACTACACATGAAATGTAAAAATCCTCATAATGGAGCATGATAACCCTATGAAGAGGGTTATAATTACTTATGCATTAACATTTAATCATGCATTCTAATGCGTGTGTTGATGGTCTCGTTTTTATGGATAATATTTCACAAGATGATTTTTATCTCCTTCACCTTTAGAGCTAGAGGCTGACTGTAGCATGCAAACATTAGGAAGGCGGCCGACCAGGGTGTTCATCGGTATCGGGCTGTAGAGAATGTACATTACCTTCTTTTGCTTTCAAATGTTGTCAAATAAATATTCTTAAACCTATAGTTTGGTTTACATGTTGTTTTGGTTAAGAAACTGCCCGGTAGAATCAGTACTAATGTGAAAATGACTAAAGCTCAAAGCATCTACACAGAGAAAGTAGTTCAATAAATGAACATTATTTCTTTATTTCTTTGAGCAGATTTGAGTTGCTTTAAATGGACTCTCTCGCCTCAGGGCAAGTTTCTAGAAACATCTGTAACTGGGTCACATTGTAAGTTCATTCTCTGGAGAAGACTTCATTCAAATGTAATGAATAAAGGAGAACAAAAAGACTTCCTTACCCGACAGTGTAATTTCGTCCATCGACCCAAACCCAGTTTGTGTCCTCGACTTTACGCAGCCCGAGCCAGTATCCATGATACTGGTCGTGGTAGAACTTGGTGTGATTACTGATGAATTCCTGTAAATTACAGAGTGATAAACATCCACATCTGATCATACAGTAAAAACGCTGACTGCCTTTAGAGAGTCTTTGACCTCTAAATCTGAATTGAAACACAGTTAAAAGATCCTGAGAGGAAGTTTGTGTTGTTTTCGAGCTCACCAGTTCTTGCAGATTATCGATAACAACGAGGTCTGCAGCTGCATTTTGGCAAAACCTCCTGCTGTCCTCCCATGTGTTCCAGGGGGGTTGTTCACCGGGTGGAAACAGGTAGCACTTTTCCTGGAACAGAACCCAGTATTTCCGACACGGCTGACACTCTGCGTTCAGGAATAAAGCAACAAGGATTTGGGATTAACGGGAAACAACGTAACAAATGTTTGATGGACTTCGATGCCGTTTGGTACAGACGTCCATGGTGTCCAGAGAATTAACCCTGACCTTTGGTGATCCCCTGACCTTTCCCCCATAACGCCGCCAGCAGGCAAAAGGTTCTTTCTTCAGACATATCTAGAATATCTGTTTTAACTAACTAGCTATAACTTTAAAGGAGTCAGCATTTCTCCACTTATTGAACCCTCATCTCAAGAATATACATTTTTGAGCTTTTGGTTACATTTTTTACTAGTTTGCTACTCACCGAGCTAGCAATTAGCTCATGATAGTCTGAATCTAAAGTGCTAGTAAATAATGTTAATATTAATGTAACTAATTCGTGTATTTTGCTACTTCTTCTCTTGCGGACATTTACAAGGTTGTGCTTCCTCTCCGGACTTAATGTTTATCTTTTATCATTTATTAAGAATTAGCTCTTTTGACGTAATAATCTACTCTTTTGTCAGTTCTGCTTTTTTGTACTAAATTAGTTTTACAAGGTTTCAGAATTCACACGTCATTTAGCTGACGCTTTTATCCAAAGCAACTTACGTTGCAACTTAACATTTTAAGCTTTTACATTTTTGCCCAGGGAGCAAATTAGGGATTTAGCGCCTTGCTCAGAGACACTTCGGACATGGAGCAGCCGGGGCTCGAACCACCAACCACACCCATAGTGCATCTTGTAGCTTCATAACCGGCCAACGTGGGGAAAAGGCCCACTCACTTTTATCCGGGCAGAAGTCGACCACTGGAAAGGCGTGATAGTGCATGATGACTCCCAGTGTCCAGTTGAGATGGTGTGTGACGGAGCTTAAGATGCTCATCTCCTCCAGCAGCAGCTGCTTCTCCGCGTTGAGCCGGCTGAGGTTCGCTTCCTGTTCCTTCATTACGGAACCGACTGAGGAGTGAAGGAGGGAGGCCAGAGTCAGACGAGCCATCGTTTATTGTAAATGTGTTGACGTAAAAAAAAATTTAAAAAAACTCACGGTAGACAACGACGGTGACGCTCGCCGTCAGCAGGACACAAAGTGTCCCCGAGCACGCCAGCAACGCAGCAAAGCGGGAGCACGCGGCTTCTTTGCCGTCTGCTCGTGATGAAAAAACAAATGTTCAAACCAGAGTTGTAATTATAATCAACTCACTCATTATTGTTGTTGTTGTTGTTGTTATGCGAAATGTGATTTTGTGTTAATAGTGCTGACATCACATAATCATACATATACACAAATAATGATCGGACAGGTTTTTTAGCAGATTTGGCAAAAGGAAAATAATCAGAGCCACCCAACATTAAAGTAATACTATATAATATGTAATAATACTACTGACAAAAGGCCTCAAGCAGGTTGGAAAGAGTGAATTTATCTATCTATTTATCTATTAAGACACATTTTCAAACTGAAAAGTCATAAAGTAAAGTATGAATTTCTACTTCTTCAGTCAGTGAAGAACATTTCGGTGGATGTTCATAAGCTACCTGGTGCGTTAGGAGCCTCCTCAGGTTTCCCTTTAGGATCAACTGTGGGGTCTTTTTTCTCTAAACGACGGAAACAACAACAGAAGAAAATGAGAAGAGAAGCGAGACGTTCTTTCAAAATGTCACCGACTTTCAAAATGTCACTTTGAAACGCCTTCAAATGTTTTGTCGTAGCACATTATTCAAGCTTAACGTAACATTATTTTGTGACTAATCCACACAACCCATTTGAAATGGTAAAGAAAGGAGTCACTCACTCTCCGGAGCGCCATCCTTCTTACTGAAGACCACCGTGGAATAGATGATTTCGTTCTCCATCCTAGAAGTCGACGGTCGCCGTGCTCGCTGTGTGACTGAACAACATTCTGAGGCATTTCCTCACGGAGGAACAAAAATTGCAGCTCCCAAGTTGTACATTGTGACACATTTGAACCGGGCAACCTGAGGCCGGAGGGCCAATGAGGCCCCGCGTCGGCGGATTACTCAAGGCGTCGGCTTTGTGTGTGGTCGAAAGCACGTTCGCTTCTGTAACGAGCAAATGTACAAACTTTTGCAACGGCAGAAGTTCTGCATTTGATTTAAAGCTGAACTGAACCTTTGAACCCGACGTGCTTATTTGTGTGTGTGTGTGAGTGTGTGAGTGTGTGTGTGTGTGTGTGGGGGGGGGGGGGGGGGGGGGTGATCAGTCTAAACTGTCCCGCCTTTGAACAGCTTCGGTGAATTGTCTTCATAATCATCACTGGGCGTCTGTCACCACGCTGGGGAGGGGTTTCATTTTACTGTCAACAAATCCCATGAAATACCAAAACCCATCGTTTATTTGTCCACATGTCAATAAATGCTGTGACTTTCCTTGCCGGGCTGTAAATAATTTACTTCTTTTACTAGAACAGATGAGCATTGTAGGTTTTATCAAACGTTCCTCAAACAGGAGCATATTTTGCATTTGTTGGGGACTATTTTCTGCAGTGGATGAATACACATTTGATGCATCACGTTTGTATTTAAAGTATTTATGGCAACGTGGGGAATGTGGATTTGCCTCAGAATTAAACTGCCTGTTTTTCATCATTTAACAAGTTCCCAGTAAAGATGGAACAGTTTATGAGGTCACTGGAAGCTGTAAGGTACGTTAGAAAAAATAAGAAAATAACGTAACGTATTTTAATGTTGGTAATTTACACTTTTTACAACTTTATATCCAATCTGTACCAGTTCAATGCAATGTGAATCATCTTGTAGACGTCATTGAGATCATAGTTAACGTTATGCTGCTTTACATTTATTGTAGCAATTCTGTGATCTCCATTAACAAATATTGTATATAATATAACAAACAACACCAACTAAAATCATCATTGAATCGAAACTTCTATGACAGTGTAACAGAATCCTACATACATATAGAACTATAACATGCGTCTTTAATAGAAAACAAAGGATCAGGGAAAACAGAACACGTTCTGATATCTACAGTAGGTTGTTGCATAAACCGAATTGATCAGGCAGCTGAGTCCGGATGTGTTTTGATCAAAGCTCGGCGTTCACAGATCCAGCGGTTCCTCATGTTACAGCTGGCTTTTCTCCAGTTGCCCAGAGGATGTTTTGTGGCCTGAATGAGACCACAGTGTGAATTGTCGTTTTCTGTATTCCAGTACCTGTTGAAGAAGAAAACCACACAATATCTGTCTTTGTTTCCCTACGTTTTGGGAAATGGGCCTAGTCGCTGACAGCTAGAAGAGACGAGTGATCCGCGCACAAGAGGGGTGTCGATTTATCGAGCAATGCAAAGTGAACTTCTGCCGACTATTATAAAGCAATGTGTCTCAATAACTGTCGTCACGGATCACCGGGGTTAAAATGTGGCAACTTTTAAAGAACAGTGTGTGTTTTTTGCCGCTTACGTCACAGTGAGGTTGCTTCCATCTGCCCACGTCCACGTGTCCGTTTTGCTCAAGCCCGTCCAATAGCCATGATTGTCATCATGGTATTTTTCTGTGTGGTTGTTAAGGAATTCCTAAAATGTGTTGTGCAGGTGAAACAACATTTAGTAAATATATAAATTTGTTAACTACGAAAATAAACATAAAGGACATTTGAAAATGAATCGTTTTAGTAGCAGTGACGCTCAGTCTTGCCTGTTCCTCTTGACTCTCAATCACCACCAGATCTGCCCTCTGGTTGTGACATTCATGCCGGCTGTCCTGCCACGTCTTCCACCAGCTGGAGTATGTATACGTTGAAAACATGTAACACTTTGACTGGAACGATATCCATCCATCCAGGCACGGTTTACACACTGCGAGGGAAGACGGAGACGACCAAATCACAAGCGTATAAACCCATCGGGATCCTTTCCAGCTGATCCAAGAGGCTCTTTTATTTAGCTTAGCAAGTGCTAGAATCTAATCTGTTCATAGAAAAGAATTAAACTGCCAGTTAAAGTGACATAAAATGCAAAGGCTGAAGTGAAGTAGACAATCTTCATGTCTATACAAGTTCATGTACCTCAATAACTAAAAGTTCACCTTTCTGTGGGCAGTATGTGTTCACTGGGAAGCCCTCGTATTCCAGGACGACTCCGACGGTCCAGTTGAGCCCGTCTCTCTCTCTGGTCAGCTGTGCCGTCTCTTTCTCTAAATGGCTCTTTTCTGTCCACAGCTGCAGGTTCTTTGCTGTTAAGTCGAGGTTCTCGCTGTGCTGCTCTGACACGACTGCGCTGACTGCAGCGAGGGGAATAAAACCGCTGCTGTTGCGCTCGCTTTTGATATCAGACAGACAGACAGACAGACTTACAGTAGACGACGAGAGTCACGACGACCGACACCAGGAGGACACAAAGGATCGCCAGACCTGAGGCCACCAGATGAACCGGTGTGAAGAGCGTGGCTTTCTTTTTGTTTCCTACGCAGAGCAGAAAAAAAACAACAACGCTCGATTTAACTATAATTATTCAACTTTAATCGTGTTTCATGTTTTCTTAATCATGACCCTAAATAACCTTGTGTGGCGCGGTTTGTGTCCCAGGCCCACTCCTCGTAGGTCTGCACCTCATCGTAGATGGTTTCTAGGTCACATGGTTTATCTGCGAAAGACGGAGCGGTTTGAAGGAAACGAGAACGTTAAAGTCTACGATGGTAGACTTTCAAGAGTCACTTCCATGTCTGCCGGGTGAGCTTTTGTTTTGACGAGTGCATACTCGTCAAAACTGCAGTTTTCAGTAACAAGGCATGGAAAGAATCAAACCCAAGTACCTTAAATCTGCCCTTACTTTATCTTCTTGAGCTCAGATGAACAGCTCTGGGTTTTTATTCAGCAGACACAATCAGTTATCAGTACAACATAAAAACCAACAGGCCCACGTGACTCACCGCGTGCAGACGAACCGTCGGTCTTGAACTTCACTTGCACGTAATTCAGTTCTTGCTCCATTATCTTATCGGGTTTGTGAGAGACAGCGTTCACTTAATCTCAAAGACCAGCAGCATAAAAGTAGAACCGCCTCATTGGATTCCATGCGGTTTACTGGGAGTGCACATTGGTTTGGTTTCCGACACACAGAAACCAACCGGACATGTGGGCACATCTTGCACTTCCTCTTTTTGGCAGAATGTTGTAAGAGTTATAAAATGATTCTTTTGTGGTTGGATGTTTGAAGTCATATATTCCAGCACCTAGCGGTGAAACTTCTCCCCCCATTGTCTCTTGTTTTAATATTAATACGTCTATAACGATAGCTCAGCCTCTTCTTTTTGCTTCTGTGAAGTGTTGTTCTCTTCTGATGCAATCTTGAACTTTGAACATTTCACCAACAGAAAACCACAGTCTATTATATTTACACCAATGAGTGAAGAAGACTTTTTCCTCATGCAAATCAATTGCACTTACGCCTTCTGCCGACTCATGATTTGCCAAGACTCAGCTCTACCGACATCATATTTATGTGATTGGAATATAATACTAATTAATAATAGTAATTATGTTTAATTCAAGAACAAAAAAAACGTTTATTCTCAAGATCTGAATTCGCCAGGGAAGCAATAACTAATCAATTGATTTCCGATGCTCAATAGAGAGATTTGACCTTTTCTTACAGGTACACGCCAGCAGGTGGCGATCTGAAACTGCATTTATACTCAGTGTCCAGTTACAAGGCAAACCCTGCTATGATATATACTATAACATGTACTAGCGTGTATTAAACTACACGTAAACGCAGGACCTCGACAAACACGACACGTTAACTAACCTTTGCCCCTCAGTGACTCAAACTCAGTGACGCGTGCGTAATGGAGGGCAGCTGACCAATCAGCGAGCAGCGTCCGTCCAGGGAACGCCCCCACCTGCAGACAAGGAGCCCGAAGGAGCCGCTCTCGTGACTGACGCAGTGTCGCTGGAAGCTGGAAGCTCCCGATAAAGCGGAACTCTTCAGTGTTTTTCACGGACTTTCAGCGATGGTTTGCGGCGGGTTCGTCTGCACCAAGAACGCGCTCAGCGCCCTCAACGTACTCTACGTGGTGAGTGTGACGTCACGGTGGGAAACGACTTAACCTCGTCAAAGGGTCAACAGCTGTCTGCGCTTCCGTCTCTCCCGCCTTGCTCAAATATCCAAGATAAGAACGACGTGTTTGAGCGGTCGGCTCGTGGTGGAAGCGGCAGGTGTTGGTGGTCAATGATTACCTGGTTACCAGGTTACCAGTCTGTGCAGGCTTAGTGATAAATACACTTCTACAATAAGTCCTGTGTTTTATAGAAGACCTTCTTCTTCTAACTCTGAGAAACAAAACGCCGCTTTAGTTTGTTTTCTTTGCAGTTCTGCAAAAAAAAAAAATTTAATTAATTTAATGTAGCCTGGTTTCAGTTGTGTAACTTTAACTTTGTCTTCTATTCTGCAAACTTTAATACATTTTTTTTTACAAATGAGTTAAATAAAACCCAGTTGTCAGGGCCTTAAACCGTTTAGAGAAATGTCATTTCCATTAGTCTAAAGCCACTAATGTTGCAACTTTAAATCCGTATTGGTGATTTAAACCGTTACAGACAGTTTGTCATATAATAATAACTGACTTCTTTAGGGTTTGGTTTGATGAAACAAGTCATTTGAAGAGTTTCTGACGTTTCTATTCGTCGAGAAAATACTCGTTTTAGATAAATGTTGAAAAGGGAAATCCTTTTTAGACAAATATTTATTTTTTTAACTAATGTTAACATTACGACGACCCAATGAAGCTCGGATTTCCTTCAGCAAACCAGAACGAAAAAAAGTAAAAATGACTAAAGCAGTATATGAATCGCTTCAATGTTTCTGCTCCAACCCTCACTTGTTTTTTACTGACGTGTTATTTCCCATCATGCTCTCTGTACATCTGTTATCGCAGTGCTAAATGTTTTGCCGGTCTGGACCCCGGCTGACCGCCCTCCATGGCGCTCAGCGGGCCACATCCTGGACACGCGCACCCTGCTTCCTCCCTATCGCCGTGGTTACCCTGTTTACTTCCTCCCCAGTTGGTCAGTCTGCTGCTGATTGGAGTGGCGGCCTGGGGGAAATGGTTCGACCTGGTCTCCAGCATCAGGGTGGTGGCGGGGGTCATCGGCGTGGGCATCTTCCTGTTGCTGGTCGCCTTCGTGGGACTGTGCGGCGCCCTGAAGCACCACCAGGTTCTGCTCTTCTTCGTATCCTTCGGTTCGCCCGGTCGCCTCGCAGACCCCGCGGGCTCTTATTGTCTCGGGCTCGTGTTGTGATGGTGCTTTTTAAACAAAACCGTGAGATGTCCCATTTTTAAAGCCAACGTTGACTTCCTAAGCCTGCTCCAGTACATGATAATCCTCTTCATAGTGTTTGTCATGCAGTTTTCTGTGTCCTGTGCCTGCCTGTCCCTGAATAAAGAACAACAGGTATGTTGTTTGTTTTTTTTTTTTCCTGCATTTGTCAAATTCTCCCACACGGGTTTCTTGATTTCGCAAAATCAGGCAAATAAAGTGCAAACTTAACCGGGCTGAGTTTGATTCTCATTCACAGAACCACCTGCTGGAGGCCGGCTGGAACCGATCCGAGGCCACGCAGAGGGACGTGGAAAAGACCCTCAACTGTTGTGGCTTCAATTCCGTCCCCCTCAACGACTCCTGTGCTGCCGTGAGTAAATCCTCCTCTTCTTTCTTCCTTCTTATCGTGAAGTCCGTGGCCGTTTGTTTGATTCCCAACCACTACCTCCTCTAGAGTTGCTTCAACGCCGTCCCTCCAACGTGCACGACGTGCTCGAGCACCATCCAGCAGGCCGCGGGGGAGGTGCTGCGCTTCGTGGGGGGAATCGGGCTCTTCTTCAGCTTCACAGAGGTCAGCAGATGTCGACATTCAGAAATCCCCGTCGGCGGTCTCGCCACTTCCGGTTGATGCGCCGTTTGTTCCACGCGCTTCTTGATGTTCGTTTGTCTTTTGGTTTCAGATCCTTGGCGTCTGGCTCGCCCACAGATACAGAAACCTAAAAGACCCTCGTTCAAACCCCGGGGCCTTTCTATAACCACTCACAGCTTAATGAAGTACTTCTTCCTCTCAACTCAATGCTATCTGGACTTTGAAGGAATAATGTAATTATTGCTGGATAGCCACATATGACCATTATATGACAATGATGGTTAGTTGTATAAAAAAATATAATCTTAAGTGGGCCTCACATCTAAAGGTTGATCACTGTTAGCATTAGCTGTAACTAAAGAAAACGAGTGCATTTGCTTATGAATACATCTGTTTGCTTTTAGTATTTGCTTTTTGATTCCTTTTATTGACATAATACTGTGTTCTATGTGAATATTATTTCTTATGTCTTTTCAGCTGAGGAAAGGAGAAACAAGCTAATTCAGTTTCATGCCGAGAGCTGGATGACTCTTGGCAAATAAATATCAAACTATTCCTTTCCGTGTAACTTGATGCCCGTGAGCATCGCCAGTCTAATCTGTCCCAAAGTGAGAGCGTTAAGATATGACTGACACACACACACAGCGAATGCAAGGGGATGGGTGTAACATATTTAATTGAAGTAATTCCTGTTGCAGCTTGATAGACCTTTGGTTATGAAAACCAGGTTTTTGTTGTATGTGTATTTATTGCTCTTTGTTTCATGTGTAAAAGCATCTTATGGATTCACACTAAATCGTCTGTAACCATGTCAACAGTCAAACTTTCCATCCACAAATAAAGTTGTGAGAAAAAGGTTGTGTTTTTATGTTGCTTGGTGGATTTAGAGCTAATGGAGCGCTTTGACTCAGCAGGCGATGACTCGGTGCCACGTGAGTCACTCACCCGACCAGGAAACTAATCTTTTGGTCGCATACCCGACTCCAGTTGGTCCAACCGGTTCACCGAGTTGACTGAACTCCACTGCTACAATGCCATTGTGTGCACAGCATGAGCTGCAGTCTGTTTGAGCAGGTTACAAAATGGATCCATTCAATCACATGACCATATTAAGTTAAAGTTTATTATATAAATTGTAGCTTACTGGATATCCACAAATGATCCAAATACCTGAAGTTTGGCACTTAAAGACCCCTTACCTTTTAGAATCGAGGTCTGCTGTCAAGTTATTTTATTCACAGCAAATATTGTGCACACTTTTCTCCACATGTTCATAGTTTTAATGAAAGGGAAGGCTGCATATTCTGTTTTGATATTCCGCTAGTATTTGTACAATACCCACACATCTGGGTAAGAAAATATTGATGTACTCTCAGGGTCAAACGTCGTTTGGGGAGAGCAGAGTTTAAACAAAAGTAAATTATAGCAGGATTAACATTTTAATTAAGGTCTGCAGACCGTAACAGCAGCTAAAAATGAAATGAGCACAGATGATTGACAGTATTGTCGCGTTAAATTTAGTTGATACATTTCATACAATCAGGAGTTGTATTTATTCATTATCAAGGAATACTATTTAGCATCACTTAAGTCACAAATCGCCACCACTCATCTTTGTTGTAAGCGATTAGTCTTCTTTCAACCTCAAAGCAGAAAACAAGAACACTTTTACTGTATCAAGTATTTTTTTTATTAAGCTTACTTTACATTCATGTACCAAACCGCTTGTTCGCCACATGAAAGCATACTCCTGCACTCAAGAGTATTTACAGGAAGTCTAAAATCCACTAAATAATGAAAATTTGGGCTCCATATTAACAAAGTAACACGAGGATAGGAGGGCAAAAGAGACACATGGATCCAAGCAGAATTAAAGTGACCTGAATTAGTCTGACCCCATCGCATTAGGAACATTTTCTCAGCTAAATGTTGGACCAAAATAAATAGGCACTGGGAGAATAGTCACATTAGCATGAGGCAATTAGTCAAAAGAGCTTCTAACTGCTTTTCAAGCCACACAGAAAGTGTTGGGGTGTGAGGAGAATGACAATCAAAGAAATAAAAATGATGAAAACAGCGAGAACCTTTCATATCCGTTGCACTCGATTATGAGTCTGATGAAAAGGCTCTGTGCGCGTTGGGGGACTGCTGAGAGTTGAAATCCGGGTCTTCTCTCACTCGTTTCTTGATGTCCGCTTTAACCTGAGATTAAAGAGATTTGATTATCATGGAGAATTCAGAAGGTGACTTTCCGTGGCTCGCTAAGGTCTTCTGCAAATTAAATATTGCTTATTTATGTTTTTTCCTTGACCTTCAGGGGATAAACGCGACAGCTTCGACATTATGCAAGCCGACATAAGGAAGGATTAGATTAAGACGAGAGAGAGTTGAATGGATATCGACAAAAATAAATAATGATGTCAGTTTACTTTTATCAAAACAATTTTAACAGTTATTTTCGGCAGCATTAACTAAGAACATTTTAATAATCAATTCTGTGGATTCTTGTGATGGACAAACTCAACAATTAATTGTTTGTGAAAATACAAATTATTTTTCTATAATTGAGTATTTGATTGTCCAACCAATCGTTGCACTTATCTAATTGTATGAAAAAATAAAACAAAGCATACTGGGAATGGCTATTACGTTCCAAGAGTAATGTTTACAAATGCTAATATAAATTTCAAGCTCACGTTCGTTATCATTTTCCATCCATTTACTTAATATAGACCTATAACTCTTAAGATACATCTAGCAGCGTAACCGTGTGTCCTCATAAAGACGGTGAGAGAATGTGATGGTAGCCAGTGCATAACAAAACTAAAAGGACCAGACCGCAGACATGAACCCAAAGGTTGTGTCCCTGGACTAATTCACCTGTTCTGCATACGCTTCCTTCAGCTCCTGGCTCTCCAGATCGTCTTGTAATCGCTCCGCAGAAGTGATGGGCTTCACTCCCGCCGCCCTGGCTGCTTGACTCACCGCGTCAGAGAGAGAGAGGAGGCTTCCGCCACCAAGTCCCGTCTGCAAAAGACACACACACACAGACACCTTGAAGACGGCATGGACAAAGTGACGTCCACACGTCATAACTCGAGTTACGACCGATCCGGTTACCTTCCTGCGTTTGGCCGGCATGCCGTGCAGATAAGCGTCGGACAGCGGGGGCTGAGCCTTCATCTTCCTCTGGGTCATCATGTCGCACCTGATGATGGGCACCCATTCCTACAACACACACACAGCTATCAATGAAGATGGAGGTCCTGGTTTGCCAGGTGCATCTTACAAAAGCCTGTTTTCAAGTTAAAGCCCTTTTTGTTACAGTTCCTCCATTGCAGCTCAGAGAGGAAACAAATAATTGATATTGTACTTTAAGTTTGTGTGGACACAGTTTTGTTGTCCATCTTAGTACTAGTGAGAATATTGTAGAAGGCAGAGCTGATCCAGTGTGTCCAGTTGAGTTCACTGGATTAGCAAGAAGAACAAGTAAACACTGAACGTGAAGCCGGGCGGTGCTACAAAGAAAGGATCGACGTTGAAAGCGGATACAAACTGTGTGCGCTCTCACAGGCGGAACTGCAGCCGCCCAAGTCTCCGACTGTCGGGCCGACTCGACGCTCCCTCCCTCGGCTCCGGCCGCCGCCATGTCGCCCCCTAGTGGCGCAGCTCCTCCGGAGGCCCCGAGGTCTCCAGGCAACACCCGTGTTTCCCGGGACGGCGCCCTTGTGTCGTGCGACACCGACATGGCCTCCTCTGCTGTGGTGGCCGCCGCTGGTGAGAGGGTGTCCCCGATCTTTGGAGAAGTGGAGAATAGTGAAATGAGGGAAACCGAAAAGGCGCACGTCAAACCGAGTTCATTAAAGAGGCGGCGTGCTCACCGTTGCACTTTGTGCTCGTTCAGGCTCTTGTGTGCCAGTTGAAGACTGCTCCGTCTGTGAAAGAATTTCATTTAATATTTATTAGCCCTTTCAGACGAGGTGTCCCGAGTAACCGGATACGTGACCGCCATCCGGTAAGAAGGACTCTGATGCAGCTTAAAAACATAAAATAAATGAATTAACACTGAAATCTACTGACACAAAATTTGTGGTGAGCACATTTTAAGTTATTAAGTGTAACCGACGCCATCATGTAGATGATTTCCTCCAATCGCCATCAACATAAGAGGCCGCCATGGATCCAGAGCTAAAACATACAGCGATGGTTTAAACAGGCATGTTTTGTTACCTGCGTGTGAACTATGTAGGTCTGGATCTGCTCCTCTGTAATGGGGATGTGCTCCAGAATCACCTGCAGCCTCATCGTCATCATGCTGGTCATCCAGTTGACCAGGCTGGGGCTGATGTCACTGGACATCCTCCGCTGGAACAACAAGAGAAAATAAAGCCTGAATTGAATTTACTTTCTCGACGGATTGTTAAAGCGCCTTAGCTTTTCTTTGGTTTGCTTCTTTCTTACGTGACCATTGTGACCTCACAGCAACAGTTCATGGACACAGTAGATATCTGCTACCTAAAATCTATAATGCCATGTTATTACTACTAAGAGAAATAGACTGTTGGCCTTCACCTGGTCAATAACTCCATGACTTGGTTTAGCCTTTGGTTTAGTTTGCCTGTTGCAAGTAAAGATGACTTTGCACACAGCACTACACCTGATATTGTGTGACTAAGGTGCCAACGTCTGTTTCGTCTGAAGTCTACAGCCTACTCAGCGGACAAAGTGGGCGCTTGTGTACTGACTATGCGGTGGTTGATGACGGCGGTGAGTGCTCTCTGGTCTCCTCTCAGGCAGTGCAGGTTGAGGGCAAGACACTCAAACAATGCCTGATTGCACATGTGCAGCAGCCGAGGCCCAAATGTGTCATCTGGATGAAAAGAATATTGACAATAACGAATTAGAAGAAAAAAAAACAATTCCTACAGAGACATTGAGAATCAACATCAACGGCAGTATTTATGATTAAGAATCAATATATATATTATTAGCTCTGATGCTGAAACCTCAACACGAAGGCTAAACTGGAACCAGAATATCCAAACATAAACCATCACAGGATCAGCGGATTCTGAAGTTTACCCGTGCAACGGAGAATATGGGTGGCAATGCGCATCAGCTGCTGTCTGAAGAAGGACATGTTGGTCCGGGTGACGTCAACGCCGTCCAACACCGTGACCGAAGACTCCCTCTGTGGGAGCAGCACATGGACACCCAACAAGTAAAAAACAAGTTCTATTAAACTGCTTCAAAATGTCTTCTGGAGTGATGAAACATATTTCTGTAATGGACTGCTGTTATTTCATTTATTTAGGGGTTTCTGCGTTTATTTTCCGATGTCTGTTCTTCAATAAACCTCAATAAATATTATATTGAATAGATAAAAATATCAGAAATCAATAAATTCCCCCGAATTCAGTAAAACTAACCTGCAGAAAAGCCGCAGGGCACTAAACTTCTTTCAGAGGCCATTAGTGTCATTTATAAGGCTCCTTTGATGGCTTTGTTCATTATCTGTGAATACATCAGATTCCCACACGGTCTACAAGTGAACTAATTCAACTGATAAAATGTGAGTCGACTATGAGCAGGCCTTCCGTTAATCATATACGGTTTTGTACTAGCGAAGGCGTGGACATCAAGCACTTACAAAGCTCTCGCTGATATACTCCTCCAGTTCGTTCACGAGACTCTCCGCCGCAGCCTGGGGGGTAGAAACCGAGCAGAATGTGGAGAAAGAAGAAAATAAATAAGACAAATCATTAAAGGGCTCCAATAATTAAAGTAAAATTAGCTGTGTTTAATTCCAACTACACTTGTATGTATGAAAAAGTCAGATACAAATAATTTAAAGTA